AGGAGGAGGAGGAGGCAAGCAGAGCCAACATGCCCTTGGACAAATGCAAATCCCTTGGACAAATGAGACATTTCTGGAGAATGAAAGACACATTCCAAGAACAGCCTGATGTGGCTACAAGCTTAAGAACATTTTGTGCTACCTCTACAGGTGCAGTACCGGGGGCTTTTCCAAATGATCGCTGTCCTGGGGATTGGTGGAACATTCCAAATGGGTTTTCAAATTTCTTCCATCACCTACATGTCTCAGGTAGGCAAAGACATACTTGGCATACTGGTTAACGATAGCGTCGAATCTACAAAAAAATGCTTGAGGATGCTCCTTTCTGGCAGTCAGCAAGGGCTTAATCACAGAATCCTCCTCTCATGATTCTTTCCCATTACTCTGTCTTTACCATTACTATGTAAAGCAGAACATGCGGTGGTGCTAGGCTGACAGTTTGACTTGGTGAACTCAGAGGTCTTTTCCAGCATTAATGATTCTGTGATTATATGATTCTGTGTCAAAGTGCTGAAAAGAGAGAGACGCAAGTGGTTGTATATAGAACTGCTCCTCAGAAGACGCACGCTGACTGGGGTGACATCTGTCTCCCGTATAAACCTACAGCACATGGGCCTACTTCAGTGGTCTCATTTGACATTCTTCACTACAAGCCCACGCCTCAGTTCCTCAGATTTCAAGGACAAAAACCCAAAGAACTAACTCCTTTTAATAGAGTTAATGAACACATGATACTCTATTAACACTATGTTTATTAGCTAATGCACACTTCTAGAGTCTATATGAAATAGTGATTTGAGCTGAAGCAACAAAATGATGTTTTAAATAACATATATGCACTGGAATCACAGTTATTGTTAATGAAAATTCTTTTTTCTCTCTCAGCATGTTAAGACTTTCATTAATGAAACTTGGCTGGAGCGATATGGATACTCCATCCATCAGGATAACCTCTTGTTCCTGTGGTCTATCACTGTGTCCATCTTTGGTATAGGAGGTCTCTTGGGTTCTTCAGCAAGTAGATACCTGACTGTCAAGTATGGCAAGTATGTGTTTAAAGACAATTTGTCAATTGAATCTTGGCTTAAGGAAATGACAGCTGAGGTTTTAAATGTGAGACAGACTTTTAGGCCTACTCATGACTGTAATGCAACCAGCTTAGCAGTGATGTCAACAGATTTTGCTGCTTCTTGCCCTTGTCCTGCAGCACAGGCTAACTGACCATGCTGCCAGCCCTTCACACCAGATGCAGTTACTCAGGTTGAGTTAGTCTTGGCAAGGAGGAAAGGCAGCCCCCTGGATGAAGACAGAATGGATTTCTTGGAGGTGCTATGCAAAATATAGCAGCATTGAGATGCTCCTAGGTGTTAAATCAATGTGTTTTGTGATGGTTTTTCAAGTGCACAAAAGTTTCAAGACTTTTTTCTCCACTACAAAACCCAGAAGTGTTTCCAATGATCCAGGTCAAGTCGTGTGCCAAGGCACACTGCGAGTCCACAGCATCCAGTGCCAATAGCATGGAAGGGCTTATTTTGTCCTGGACCACACATGTATAATTTCACAAAACTGGCAAGACAGTTTCACTCGAGACACATGCCAGAGTCTTAAGTGCCATTTCCCTTCTGATTTACAAAAATTCTTTTTACTTTCTTGCACTTACAGAAAGAAATGTCTCTTGTGCAACAATCTGCTCATGATAGTGGCAGCATCTGTCATGGGGTGCAGTAAATTAGCCCGGTCCTTTGAGATGATTCTAATTGGACGTTTCATGTGTGGAATAAGTACAGGTAAGTGATTTCTCCTACAGCAGGCTCTCCCAAAGTTTTACATCTTTATTCAAAGTAAGTAATGACCCTCCACTAAGAAAATAAAATATTAAAGTCATTGGTTCTTTGTCAGAAGATCTTCTATAATGCCCAGCAATAAAGAACATAACTCCTGCTTTCACTGATACCAAATGAAATACAGTTTTCCCAAGTGCATAAATATTCAGAGCTGTCAGGAATGTTCTGATATAATATGAAACAAGTGGGGGTTTTTCTGATGGCAAAATAATATCTTAATTTTGGTTAACAGTACTGGAAATCATATGGTATATGGTTTAAAGCTAATATTCTCATAAGGCTCAGGCTGTTAAAGGCCATGGCCATTTCATTTTGACTGAACATATTTCAGGTATGTTCTACAAGTATATTCAACCTGGTTCTGATACAATATGAAACAAGTGGGGTTTTTTCTGATGGCAAAAATATGTATAATATCTTAATTTTGGTTAACAGTACTGGAAATCATATGGTATATGGTTTAAAGCTAATATTCTCATAAGGCTCAGGCTGTTAAAGGCCATGGCCATTTCATTTTGACTGAACATATTTCAGGTATGTTCTACAAGTATATTCAACCTGTTTCAAAGCAGTAAGTCCTTGAGGTTAGTGCAAAGAGCTGGGCATAATCAAACAAAATCACACCTGGCAGGTAGACCACATGCAGCAAAAATATCCTATGCTGGTACCAGTAGGCCTTGTATTTGTCTCCTACAGAAAAAATCTGCTTTTCCATTCAGTTTGGATTTTCAAAGGGATGCCTATTTTAACTAACTTCATTAGAAACGAATGTCTATTTTTCAAATAACCAGAATTAATGCATTGTTTTTCTGACATAGAGTTGTATTGAAGAACAACAGCTGTATTTTGAAAACTACTCACGCACTCACCCTGCTATTATCTAGAACCTGTATCATACCTCATGCAAGAACCTATTTTTTGTTAAAGAGATGCCATATCTCCACTGCTTTGCCGTGACATAAAGCCAGGAGAAGAACATGTTGCTTTCAGAACAGATAAAAGGGCCTGTAACCACCGTATCAGGAAAAAGCTCTTTTTTCCAACCTAGTTTTCAGAATATATGAGTTATTAAGTACTTCACTAATAGCTAGAAACATCAGCTCTGCCTGAAATCATCTAAATTATTGCTGGACAGTGGAAAAGAACTACTTTTGTCTCCCTCTGAATCATGTACAAATTAACATTGACTATAGCACTGTATATTTTAATCTGCTATGGATCCACCATACAGCTCTTCTATAGCATCATGTCAGAAAAGGTTAAGATTATGTGGGTTAACTGCAAGCAAATTAAATATTACTACAGGGCATTTAGTTATTCAGCACTTGCATACTCTGTGTCCTTTAAAATATGCTAAAGCTCGCAAGAGATACTATGATAAGGCTACACCTACACCTCAAAGGGAAAACTGCACATTTCTTAAGATCAGGAAACTGCACTGTGCAAAAAAAGACAGGAACCAAATACTTCTGCAGAAAAGGTTAGAAAATGTAGTCCTGAAAATCTCAGGTTGAGGTATGCAAAGCAAGTCGGTGCTGAAGCAGGTATATTCCATAATGCTTTATTATTTACATGCAATTTTATTTCCAATGGTCATTAATTGATGACGCGAAAGTCACGGACACTGCTGACGATCAATATGATCAAGCAAATGCCGCTTTATTAACACACAAACACGGTTAATAATACAGTTCACAACGTCCTTGTTTTCTAAATGCTCTCTATTGATTGGCTATTAACAACAAGCACACGCAGTCCATGCTCCTGTTCACGCGCTGTTTTCCTTTTGCTGATTCGCTCTTCACTGCTGATCACGCTCCTGTTTCTCCCCACCTGCAGCCTGAGTTTGTTTCTGTTTTCAGTCACATACACCAGTCACAGCTCCTTCTTTTTGTTTGCTTCAGCATATTCTCACAGCAAGTGACCTTCACAGTGTCCTTCACAAACTCTTGTCAAGTGAGGCCTAAAACTTGTCTAAAAACAGGCCATCTGGATTGTTCAAAACATGTCCGCTGTCCTCTAAATATCCTACAATTAATGTCTTCTTTTTTCTCTCCCATAATTCTCTCCTCACCTCAAGGTCTTTGTGTTCCTCTACATCATCAATACGTTGGGGAAATCTCCCCCAGGAAGCTACGTGGATTTGCAAACTCTACTTCCTCTTTCTTTTGGTCACTGGGAAAAGCCGTAGGGCAAATTTCAGGACAAAGGTATAATACAATTGATTCCCCACCCAATTAATTTCTGGATCCCCTCTACATTCTGCTCCTTCCTCTGTTTTCCATCCATTCCTTTCTCTCCTCAAAACCAATGCAATGAACTTCTACTCTGCACACACATTTTATCTCCACCAGGGAGCTGCTGGGCAGCCAGTCCCTGTGGCCCATGCTGATAGCCTCCTGCGGACTCCCAGCACTGCTCCAGCTGGTCACTCTGCCCTTCTTCCCTGAGTCCCCACCATACCTCCTCATGCATAAAGAAGATCAGGAAGGCTGCATAAAAGGTAACTGAGGGCTCCAAGTTCTTGTTCCTCCCTTGGCTTTAAATCAGTTTGCAGTGTTTACTCACTCCAAATGGCAAAAAAAATAGGACAAAGTCTCTCCTTGCTCATTTCTAAGATGACTCTGTGAATACTTGCTAAGTATATTTTTGTTGTAGTCCCCACACAGAACATGAAAGTACTTCTCTCTACAGTTCTGTATTATAAAAACTTTTTCAGCTGACACTACCTGAACAGTCAGCCTGGTGATAAATGATAAACGCTAAATGATAGATGATAAATGACAAATGGCTGTTTGCACTGCAGGGCTCCACAGGGCACCCCTCAGCTCTGGTTGTTGGCTGTGTGCTTATACCCTGGGAGAAGGAGGGAGAAACGTGGACCCATGGACAGGGAGGGAGTCACTGTGCAGCTCACTAGGCTCTTCTCTCAGAACCGGTCCCCCTGCACAGGAGGGGAACGAGGCTCTGGCACACACTACAGCCCATGTGTGCATCATCTACTCCTTAGACAACAAACAACAGAGACAAATTAACATGGCAGGTCTCACTCTCCTTCTCCTCCACAGCCATAAGGCAGCTTTGGGGTGAAGGCCATCACCAAGCAGACATTGATGACATCATGAAAGAGAAGGCAACAATGAAAAACACCAAGATCTTGAGTGTCGTGGAGCTAATGAAAGAACCTGCTTCTCGTTGGCAGCTGTACATGATAGTTATTCTGACCGCCACAGTTCAGCTATGTGGCATCAACGCAGTTGAGTGGATTCTCCCCTTAAAGTCTCAAAACACTTATTGAACAACCGTAAAGGAGACATCATGGCTCCCAGGAGCTCCCTCCATTTTTCTCATGCTTCTCAGGCTACAACTTGCTGCCTGCCAGCCCTCCTACAGGGTGGCAGCACAATGCAAAGCTTGGCCAAGTTCTTCATGTGACATCCCTTTGACCAGTCCTTGGTCCTTGCTAGAGTTACCTTCCTTGCTCGTTAGGTTTATTTTACAGCCATTTTTGGAAACTGTTACCAATCCCCAGAAGGCACACTTACAAATGAGCCTGCCCTATACTGACAAAATCTGCAGTGTAGTTTTGTTACTGCTCCCTGCAACTGCTGCTTTTTGGCCCCCTGGCTCTTAACATCCTAAGCTGTTGGGACTGCAATACGCTTACTCCACTTTTAAAGTTAACCAACAAGCATTCTCACTCTTCTGGCAGCTTCTGCAGTCCTCTCCTTCTCCCTCACAGCAGCACTCTTCTGGGATCACTCTGAAGCCAGAGCTTGGCAGTTGCCTGCATGATTCTTCTACCTCTAACACCATGATGCAGGAACATCCATAAAGGAAATACACAGCTGAGTGACACATCTTAAACTGGAATCCTTATCACCTCAGCATATCTCCAAATAGTAGCAGAGATACTAGAAAAGAAAAGATGCCTGGTTACCCCCTCATGACCTGTCCTCTTCTTACTTAAGAAAGATTCAATGATAGTTTTGGGTGGGCTCCAAAACCAGTGATATACTTGGCTGTTTCTGGAAGCATCTAAATCGGGACTCTGAAAGCCTAATTGCATTTCAGCAGCTGGAGTTCCTTTTATCCCAGCATTTTATTTTTTATTGAATTAATTAATTTATATTTTACAATGTTTTTATCTGCCAGTAAAGTAAATACTACTAAAAAGAGTGCAGAATTCTAACTTACTGCAAAGCAGAGCTGCATACTCCTTGGTTAGCAGCTTTTACCCAGAGCACCGTCACACAGGTATGGGTAAAAAAACCAGTTACTTTATTTTCTTACTCTTTTATATTTTTTTCCCAGATTTATTTTTATACTTTTGAAGTCCTCCAGGCAGCTGGCTTTGATGAAAGAATGATCTCCTATATGACCCTCTCTCTTGGACTCTCTGAACTTCTAGCTACTGTAGTCTGTGTAAGTCCCATTACTATGGGAATGGGCCACAATTTGCTCTTCTGGCACTGACAGCGTGACTTCTGTCCTTCAGAGCTCCATCATTGAGCGGCTGGGCAGGAAAGTGCTCCTAAGAGGAGGCTATTGGATCATGAGTTCACTGCTAGCTGCTCTCACCCTGACCCTCTCCCTACAGGTAAGGAAACTCTTCTCATGGCAGATTTCTCTATCTATTCTACGGGTAACCTCTGCTCACAGGCAGGGCCATGCTGCTGAGAAAGGAAAATGGGGCTTGGAGGCACCAGAATAACTTCTGTGTTAGTACCCTACCCTCTGGAGGCAGCATATCCTGAAGATCAACTGATCTATACATAGGATTAAATCCTTGCTCAACAAGTACTCTTTTGCACTACTGTCTTCCTTTCAGTGTGATCCCATGAACTCCACAAGGAGCACATAAGACACTGGGACACTAGCACTGATTCCTGATTTCATCAGACTGCAAATACCAAACACTGGCCAGCATAGCTCAAAAGACAGTTCTAGGAAAATGGCCCTTTCTATTCATGTGGTTTTTCACAACAACAGAAACTAACAGAAACTTTGAATCAGCTTAATTTGAAATTTAACTTCACTGCAGAAAATATTGGAAATGCACCTATTTTTTCACAGACTGGTGACCAATTCACCTCTAAAACACTGTGTCATTTCCGTAGCCTATGCAGAAGCAAGTCTCCTGAGTTGCCTGTACTTATCCAAGAGCTACGCTATAGACACTACTGCAAAACTGTCCTCGAAGCAAGGTGGCAGCAGACTTCCATCTTTGTTTCATTCATGAAGGATCTCAAACACAGGAGGGAGAAATCTTTTTTTCCTAAAGCACCCAGTCTTTTATCTTCTTGACTAAAATCTAAGAAAGTTCCTTTTCAGTGCCAGTTATTGAAGTCATCCCTTACCAAAAGTGAGGAAAAATATGATTTGGCCTTCCCATATCTCTGAGGTTTGAAGGAAGCACTGTGGGGTTAAGAAGAAAGGAGGACAGGGTGGAAAAGTACTACTCATGTTTCTTTTAGTTGAAGGAAGCTTCCAAGCCTGACAGCTGCTCTGCACTAGCAAACCTGCTTCTCTGCTTCACCTAACAGATACCTCACTGCTCTATCCACAGGAAAAAGCACTCACGATTCTCTGTCAGTATTTTTCTAGAGGTGGCAGTGTTGAAAAACAAGAAGCATTTATCATCTATGGTTATCAACAGATTTCACCCACAATTTTGGTTGTTTTGTTTTTTTTTTCCCAAGGACTGGTATTTCTGGATGCCATACTGCAGCCTTTGTCTGATTGTCTTTGTTGTAGTTGTCTTTGGAGTTGGACCAAGTGAGTAATTTATTCACTAGAAATAAAGGAATCAAGTCATGTGAGTTTATTAATATGGCTAGGAAAATACTACATAATATTGCATAACATTTAGCATAAGTAAATCTCTTTAACCTAATCTTGTAACCATTTAAACACTGTGGGTCCAGTCATAGGCTGGGAACTTCAACACCATCGGGTCTGGGTTTTGCTAATGAGAGGAAAGGAATGGAGCAAAAAGTACTCTCTGGAAAAATACAGCAAAAGTAGAACAAAACCAGATGGGTGAAAGATTTTTTTTAAAACTACTAAGAAAAAAAAGAAAGAAAAGCAAGAGTTCTTTTAAATTCAGTGTTGTATAATGTTACATCTTATTCCACTCAGACAGCAGTGCAGAACACCTACTTTGGATAATTCATTTCCTAGCACACGCTAACTGCTGCTCTTTAATTTATTTTTTTTAAAAGTCTACTAATTTTTAAAATACCTGCCTTCCCATATGGCAGGGCTGAATTATTCTCCTAACTCGGAGCTGTCAAAGTCCTATAACTTCGAAACATAATAGAAATGCCCAGGAAGTGAATCTGGGAAGATCACTCATTGGTGATCTATCAGTATGATGCCAGGAATTCTTGTTAATAATAATAATTGTTATTCCATCCTTACGCAGCTTCTTTCATGAGTTGTCAGACTTTCACAAGTGTTAATTACTTAATTCTTGGATGTCCCCAATAAATTATTTGAATAATTCACAGTTTTAATCAGCAGATGTCCCGCAGTTTATAAGATGCTACAAACATTTTCTTTTCTAAAAAACCAGTGACATATTCAAGTCTTTTGAAAGCCAGCCCATGATAGTAGCATCCATTTGCTGACTGAAATGTTCAAACCAAACACATTAACAAGTAATAATTCTTATTCTTTCCTTTCAGGTGGTGCAACAGTTGCCATAAGGGCTGAAATTTTCAAGCTCTCATGCAGACCACCTGCCTTTGTGATCAGTTCAGTTGTCAACCATCTGGGTGTCTTTGTGATTGGAACAACCTTCCCCTTCATTGTGGTGAGTGACTGTCCCTGGGACACTCCCAGCAGGAGATGACAATGCCATGTCACACTGGAGTGGCCTTGGCACCTGCTCTCCACGGTCCACTCTTGCAACTGAAAGGCCCTGATTTGTCGAAATTACTTATTCAGACTGAGGTATTTGTCAAAGGTCAAAACGCAAAGAACTCCTTATCAAATTCAAAGTACTTTGGGACCCAAATACAAAAGCTATGCCAAGGAAGTGACAGAAAAAGATACGCTCAACTTACTCTCTTTCTCACTTTGCTCTTCCCTGCAGGAAAGACTCAAGCACTTCTGCTTCCTCATCTTTATGGGGGTACTTTTCACTTCAGGGATATTTATCCACCTGTTCCTTCCAGAAACAAACGGGAAATCAGTCATGGAAATCACAGAAGAATTCAATAAGCTAAACTTTAAAAAGAAGTATATTCCAACAACCCCAAATCACGTCACAGAGGATTATACCTTCTGCACCAGGCTTTGACCAGCTATTAGGGGGAAGTCAGCCTTTCTTAAAAGGAAGAAAAAAAATACATTTTTCATCTACTGACTAGCAAATGGGTCTAAATGGTCTATCATATCTGTCACTTACAAGGTTCCTATTTTGCCAAACCAGCACTTTGCTCAAGCACTCCACTGTGGGCAGCTTCAAAAAGGCGTGATGGCTGATACTAACAGGACAGACTTGTGTGAATCATGAGCATTTTGACTTAACTTGCTGATGTGTAAATTTCTTCTTAACAGAACAACTAATGCACACTGAAACTAGACATAGAATTTATAAACACTCTGCTGACCACAGAGAAAGAGAAGACCTGTGATCTTCTCTCTCTATGATTTCTGAACGTGTTTTTACAACCCTGAAATGGGAATAGTGAAGTTCTTGGCTTGCTATCTCTGGCTAGGGTTCAGTCCATAACAGATTAAAGAAAAAATTTAGTGGAATAGGAGAGTAATTCTTTGTTTCTTTAGACTCAACTAAATAATCAAATCTTGCTAGGTTCCCATGCATTATGCCATGTTGTCCTTGCATTGTATCTAGTTTGACAGACTTCAACCTTTTTGAACTGAAGTTTTCCATGTCAGCAGTCATCCTTGCTTTGACTTAAATTTATTCTTTTGCTACAAAATTTAGTCATTTGATTCTAAGCTCAGACCTGCTCCTGAAAAAGTGTAAGGAAAAAGTTCCTATACAACTCTTCTCAAGTAATAGTGCCTTTCGGTGGCAATACAGATAAAGGACTCATGGGTGGAATCCAGGCGCCATAAAACACAAGCAGCCAGAGTCACTTTAGATACTCTGTGCTGTCTTGACCATCACCATCATCATCCCGAGTCTGTAGCTCCTCTTCCAGGACTAGAATTCCCACAGGTAGCTCATAGGCTGTGAATCCCATAGCTGCCTTTCTTTGTGCGACTTTCAGTTACCTGGACGCAATTTACCTCAGAAGAACCACCCCAAACTGGGACTCTTGGCTGCAGTTTCTCTTAAAGACATCTGTACAGCCCCTGGATGTGTGTGCAGCAGACTGTAAGCAAAAGCTCAGTGATGACCTCCAGCTCTTGGATACATTTAGGGGTCCTGCCTAGAGTGTATTTCTCTTTCACAACTAAGAAGTGACCACTCATATTCCAGGGCTGTGCAATCAGTGCAGACTCTTCTGCCATTGTTCCCTGCAAGTGTAGAAACTGACTGACAGCTGTAGAGATGACTAAATATTTTATGCCTTGAATATTGCCAGACATACAGCTAGATGAGATTTACAGTAAAAATAAGAAATGTAATTCTGACATAAGGAACTTCTAAAGCATTCATCTAAGCACCTCCAACAATAATTTATGATTTAATTTACAGTCTTTCATAGATGTTTTGTCAATTTTTTTAAGTATGTAGTGTTCACAAAGATAAAGAAACAAAGTGAGAGAGTATGTAAAAACATAACATATGCAAGCTTTCTAAATTCCATATTTAGGAATGGATGCAATGTAATTTTCTGCACTGACTTGTAATCAGCATCTGTGCTTGAGTTCACATACTGCAGGCTTTCAAACTGATTGATCTTTAAGGCTAATTCTTCCTTCCGCTATATATAGTTAAAGGTAAAAAGAGTTTGTGAGCCTTATAGGATAGCATGATCGTATAAAGAGCCACAGGGATTAATTTCACCAGAAACTTGTTTTTTAAAATACGGAAACTCATGGAACTTTTATTTTCTTTAGAAAGTGGCTAATATTTTGCACATTTCCCTCCACTCATGAGAGGCTCACACAGTCCTAGTAGCAAAATAATGTTATTAGGAAGAACATGAACAAAGCTAAGTCTCATAGTGGAGCACACTACACAAATTAAAATCCAAACTCTAGACTTGCATAGAAAAATAAATGTTTTTATCTCTGATATTGCTTTGACTGGCATATGTAGTTCAACTCAAATAAGGCTACTCAAAATATGAATTCCATTGTTCTTCTTAACTGCTGCTTATTTTTAATTGGAAATGTTAAACATAATTAAAATGCTTGAGAAAAGGCATGATGGCTAGTATCAACAGGATAGACTTGTGTGAATCATGAGCATTTTGACTTCTCTTGCTGGTGTGTAAATTTCTTCTCGTAATAAAGAAGGCCTTGTAATAAAACTTCTGGCCTCCACAAATTTTTCTTTCCCAACATCAGAATCTCCCCTAGGGATAGCTGACTAGAAAAGAAGTTATTGGTGTGCATACCCTTCCATGATTGGGGTTTTTCATTATTCCTGTCTTTAGCATTGAGGGACACTTAAGATTTCACACTAAAAGATAACCTATGAAACATGAAGTGTCCTAAAATCAGAAAAGCTCAATAATTTTGTAGTGTTCCATATATGTATATCATACTAAACTACTAGCCATTTGGAAATCTCAACTTTTTGCAAAATAGAATTCAGAATTCTGAAAACATCTTTCTTTCCATCACAGCAATACCTGTAGTCTTTGGAAACCCAAGCAGAGTGGCATTGTGTAGCATTGCTGGAGTGACTCCCTAGTGAGCCACTTCTCTGATCTCAGTTATTCATTAGATGTCATCAGGAAAGCTGTCCCCATAAGATCCTCACCAGGAAGTGAGCAGATGCCCTATGGAACATTAATGTGACAACGAAGCGTAACAGCTATTTGGAGCACAGGTCAAACTTTGCCTGTGCTCAGTGGAGCAAGAGCTGTATTCTGGTCGCAGTCCGGTCAAGGGATGAAACAGCAAAAAGGTATGGTTCAAATACACATGGGTGACAAAGAAGACAGTCATTCAGAAGGTTCAGAAACCCTAAATGTCCATTTTCTTCCAGAGACATCAGCTTGCAGCTAAGATATGTTTCAAATAGTGACTCTAACTGAGGCAGATGCAAACACCTAGAGAGGATCAGTGAACTGCTGTCAGCTAGACACAAAAAGCATAGATCTGGTCTAGTTGCCCAGTATCAAGGAAGGCTTAGCACAGCTTTGCATGTGTTGGTCAAGCGTGACGAAAATCTCAAGATATATAACTAAATGACCTGATGTTGTGAGATTTACTCTCCTGATCGCAATTATGACTAAAGAATATCTCTAAGACATCTGCTATCTACGTGACAGCAGCAATTATGAAAATGCTCATCTAATACAGGGGGCTTCAGCACAGTGTAAGTAATAAGAGCACAGAGGCAGTACAGTAATTAATCCAGCAGAAATGCAAAAGACATTACGCGTTATGGGCATTATGGAAGGAAGACTCAACTTACCAAAAGTAGGAATTCTAAATTAAAGTACAAGAGAAAAGAGTAGAAGCTACAATATGCATAAAGTATACTAAATACAAGTGGGTGCACATAAGCAAATATGTGCAACAGGTTGCATTGAGAAGGAATACTCCACACTGGTAGCTACATATTATTGCCTGCTTGTGTCTTCCCCTAATATCATTTACACAAGGCAGATACTAGCATCTGACATGGCATTTGTTTCCTTCATCAAATGCACACTATGTTGTTCCAACTTTATATGACTTTACAGAAAAAGGAAATTAATTCTTAGTACTAAAGGAACGGTCTCATTTGTGCTCTAACAACTTATCTGCTAGAGACCCTAATCTGGAAAAAAAAGCTGCTGGGAACTCTCAGCACAGATCAGCAACAAAGTCAACTTCATCTTCTTGAGGAGGGCTGCATAGTGATGGGAGAAATGGTTGGGTGGCGCTACGTGCTGCATTTCAGACATTAGCTAGAGAATCTGTGAATATTCTTTGTGTGTGATGCGTTTCCTCGTAAATATGATTGCTTGCATCCAATAACCCCTTTATGATATCTTCATCCTCTTTAACTGAATTGTGAATAGCAAATGATAACTAAGTCATTTTACCAACTTAATACATGCAAAATCCTCTTAAGTGTGAAATAAATGAAGTTAAAGCCTAAGAATTTTCTGTCTGAAGGAAGAGCTATCAATCCAGCTATGAAGGTTACAGTATAGTTTCAAGGCAATCTTTTCTTCCTCACAGACATAGAAATAAATATACTGACTAATGGAAATTCCAGACAAACTGTGCACGATATTGAATCTTTCTCTCCTAGCAAAGCAAAATCTCTACTATTAAATATTTAGCTGATCAAGCCTGGTGTGCCACTGTAGAACTGTTAGGTCTGCACCCCATTCCAGAATGATGGAGTATTTCAATTCCTTTAGGAAATGATTAAGTTAAGATGTGCTCCAGTTGCTGTCACATGAAGAGAGAAGGGCTCTTTCCTATCACGTCAAAGTCCTATAGTTCACTGTTCAAGCCCCATCTAAGATTCCCAGCAGATCATTTTGCCATTATATTTCTCAGCTTATACTGAAAACTAAGCAAGTTATGATTTAAAATTGCTGTCTCCATTCCCTTTTTCCCTAGCACAAGACAAAGTTCAAGAAGTACGTAGGTTCCCCACAAGAGAGATCATCTTGTTTACTTGGACTAGACACAACCATTGGTTGAAATATTTAATCCACAAATTCTAAACTTTGTACAAGAGCTGAAATTGGTGTAATTAACTCAAAACCCTTTGAAGTAAAATTTAACTTCAGTAACATGGGACTAGTTCACTGGCACTGCTGTTGCATAATGCAAGCATTTGCTTCTCTTGAAAGTAAGCAACGGGAATCAGCTCTTTCACAGAGATGGCTACTTTCTTCTCTGACCTGGTGAGTATGTGGTCACTTTTTCTCAGGGCTCTGACTTCAAAAAGACAAAGCTAGCATAATACTAAATATCCAGATTCCTTAAAGATTGTAAGCTGTTTCGGTACAGAGACCATCTTTCTCTCATGTGTTTAAACATGAACAAGAACAATGGTGCTCAGGGCCATGAAAATCATGTTCTATGGTTTTTTTCACACAATAAGATAAATAAAATAAAATAAAATAAAATAAA